GGGGGGGGGCGGGCGGGGAGAACATACCAGCGCTCCTGCCTGTCGCCTAAGCAGGGAATGCCTGTCAGGGGGTGCACCAGTGCTCAAGGGGTGCATGTGCACCCCCTACACATTGCCACTGGACCAGGATCATGTCAGCTTTAATGCTGCTGGAGCTGTTTGCTGAAGACTACGGCTCAAATTCAGATAGTGGGAGAGGGATGATATTATTCAGTCAGATATTGCCTCCCTTTTGACAACAGGCAAGATGATTTAAGGAGAAAGCCAGAAAGAATGCTCTTCTTTTCTAGCAACCAGAGACATTTGGGAGCTTCAAAACTTTTTGCATTATTATATATATTATGATAGCACTCAAAAGCCCCTAACCAGAGATTAAGAGAGAACCACCAAAAGAAAGATCTAGAGGGCAGCATCTTATATAGGAACCTCAGCATCCTTCCTTTTCCAATGAGAAGGTTAGCAAGCAGGCTTGTATTATACCCAGGCATTACAGGATTGCTGAGTGGACTGGCAAGTGGACTTCAAGCCTACACACCTGGGTAAATTCCAGTTCTGAACATACCACAGAATTGGGATGGACTAGCAAGTGAACATGGTCCCAAAAAATTCTTGAACCTAAAAGAGCAGCATAGCTTCCAGAGTCAGACTGGACTGCTACTGAGTGCTAAGTTTAGGGTTTGTCCTGTAGATAGTCTGTGAATCTGTGCTTTACGGCATTCTTAAGAGGGACCTTAACTATCAGCGTGGACGTGGCCAATGTTTCCAAACAGTGCCACTGGATACGAGAGATTAGCAGTGTTCCCAAGTAGGAGGCTTACTTAAGAATATTTCACTTAACATCTGCCACAGGAGACATCAAAAAAATTTGGTGAACAAAAAAAAAATCACAATGTCACTGCACTGACCGTGTAGTTTTTGTATTTAATAGAAATTAAATTAGTTGCTTAATATACACAGTGTAATGTTTACTTTCCAGTCTAGTAGCTTTTCAATACTTGCTTTCAAGTCACATGACAAATACTGTACAAAAATTATAAATTGAGAACTAAGGAGTGAACACAGTCACTGAAATGTTAGAGCCAGCAAGGCCCAGGCTAATCTGGAGGTTCGCATACTAAAGGATACATAATCACACAGACTTGTCACAGTATAATCATGCATTTCCAAGGAATGATCTAAAGCCAGCTATGCACACTTGTTCCTAGTGGAGCAGGAGGGAGAACACTCTGGAGTATGCAGTAAGTTGCTTTATCGAGCTCCATAGCCATAGTAGTAAGGTTCATCTGGGCGATATCCATAGGCAGTCACAGGGCGGCTAGGAATACCAGTTGGCTGACCAAATCCATCCACTCCAATGCTATGAAAAGAAAGAAGAAACAAACTGATATTCTGGCTTGTCTCAGAAATACAGGAGACTGGCTCTAGGATATACTCTTAGTTTGGGAGCCTTCACCTTTCTCCACAGGGCAGACCACATTTTAAGAGAGTATCTTGTGAGGTACCTCTCTCCTGCTTTAGCTTGTTCAGATATCTCCTCCTATTTGTGATCATGTAATATCTCTATAGAAAATAATATGACCCCTTAAGTAGAAATAGAAATAAGGAAGTTTTTAACGGACTTGTTGGCTCACTCTAATTAAATGTAGCAAGCTGGGAACTGGACAGCCTGTAGTAGATAACTAGCCAAATTTGTGGGCCACACTTTCTGATGCAGTGTGGAAGACAGGGCGATAGGGACTCTTGGAACCTGTTCTCTGCTCTACTGTGAATGTTGTGGTGAGGCATAGCTTCTTTGTGATACATTTTTTATTGGGCCAACTATATAACTCGGAGAGTTGTCAAATAAGCTTTTGGGTGCAAAGTGCCCTTCACTTGTGTGACTCCATGTGTCTATCTATAAAATGGGAGTAAATACAGGCTTGTCTCACAGGGTATTTTAAATAAATTTGCTAGAAAATGGCTGTGGATGCAAAGCTGACCGTTAGCACAACCAAACAGCCAAGTTTCTTTCGGAATGATGGAGAGAGCATCCCAAAGTCACTGGGAAAATGCCAGCTGGAAATCTGAAATGGCTCGTTTTTGGCCTTGTAAGTAGAGTATGCAATGTGGTTTCAGAGGGGATGTTAGACTGACAGCCAAAGGATGGAGAGAATTTATCATGTACTAAACACCTCTGTCTTAGCAAGTCAGATGGTAATTTGGTCTTCATATACAGTATCACTTTTCATACTCTACTCTCCCAAAGCAATGAATCAGATACTGGTGGCGCAAGCATTCTGCAGGCAGAAGTACCAGATATCCCACGCTCACCAATAGCTTTCACGGCGAAGGCAGAGACAGAAAAGTAAATGTTTCCCAGGATACTGAATTAACTATTAGGTTATCTTTAAAACTTCCACCTAAACAGACAGAGATAGGCAGAAATCTCTCTAAATTTAGTGTCTGACTAGTGACAGGTCAAAAGGAGTGGAGTTTCTCATCCAAAGTAGTTAAAAAGTTAGAATGGGGAAAACCTGAAGTTTTGTACTGCTGCTAGTATGCTGAACATGCTAAACAAAGTTCACTTAAGCTGCAACAGCATAAACATGTAAAAGGATAATACAATTGAGAACACACACAATGGTAATATTCTAGGTCCTGATTTGATGAAGCACTTAGTCACATGCTTAAGTGCTTGGGCTAAACTGGCATTGACCAGAAGTGGGAAGGACTTTGTTCCAGCACTTTATCATCATCACCAAGACACTGCTTCTAGAAATATGCAAGTGTCCAGGGTATAGAAAAGAGCCATTGGTGATTATCTAATCAGAAAATCTGTCTGTCTGAGGGAAGCCCCAGCAGTTCAGAAAGTGAGAGACTTGTGAGGGCTGGTTCAGAAAAAGCTTCTCCCACCCTACAAAGGAATAGTGTGTGGCTGGTAAGCAAAACGGCAAAGAAGGTAATACCCTATGAGAGAAACAACTGGAAAAGAATGGCTTGTAATCTTTTGAGTTGGCTTCTCTTTTCAGTTCCCTCCTCAGCAGCTGCAGTCAACTAGCAGGCTATTAGGCAATAAAGGGTAGAACTTTTTCAACAACAGGTTTACGGCCCAAAAGGGCTTTTCCAAAAAGAGATCAGGAAGGGTCCCATCTTCACTGTCTGAGGTATACCTCTTCTCTTCTATCCCTCAAAGAACCAGACCCTGCACTGGGAATGAACCTATGATTATACCAGAAGGTCAGAGAACAACCTTCCCTTCCTGGCTTACCATTTGGATTCCAACCAGTCCCCGACACCACCTAGTTTCTACTGTGACTGGCATTAGAGAAACAGAGAGATTGGACAAATAGGCCTTGGATGAGCTGTTATGAGGTATTATTTCCTGCATACAGGCCACAGAGCTTTTGCAAAATATTAAACAAACTCAAACCACTGGTGAAATGGACCACCCTGTTTTCAAGTAAAGAAAAAAACAAACTGAATAAATGATAAAAAGTGAAGTATACTGATCAGAAGAAATGATCTCAGGAGTTACTAATATCCTGTGTTTTGAACAGCAGGAACCATATTCTCCATTTTGTCTTGCTAACTTAAGTGCACAGATGTCCATGGCAGTGTAGAAGCATAAAGCTGGAGTAATGGCAGAGGTCCAGGGTTTGTGCATCTAGGTTAGGCCACAGAGTCAGTTTATAAACAAGTATAATTTTCAGAAAATGTGATTCTAGATCTCATTTATTTTGCAGTGACTTATCTGAATTTGCAGTGACATCACTGTTGGACAGGTTTTTTTTATTATTCACATTGTGGTAGCACTCAGGAACTCATCTTGTTTGTTACTCACCGCAAAAAGTCATATTTTGGCCACCTGAATGCTTCACTGGCATATAGGCATACACCCAGACCTCATACCTGTGACTTAAAACAGAGCCAACTCTTGCCATCTTTCATGTTGATGTGGTAGAACCGGGAATGAGAGACAGGTCACATATGGCTGCTTGGTTCAAGATAAAGTATTGCCTCCTGAAGACTCTAGAGGGAAAACCACCCTATTAATTATGAAGGTGGCTGCACCTCATGTAACATCGTTTTAGGGGCCGTCTCTGGGTTGAGGTCCACATTTCAGTCATCCCTGTATGTGGTACTAAAAAAATAAGGCAGGGTGCAGTGGCATGTCTGAGACTAATTTGTTCAGAGGCATGCTGCTCTGCATTGTTAATTTCTAAGGTGCTATCCTGCCCTTTTTTCTGCCTGACTTTGGAATAACAGAGCTAGCTACATCTCTCTACAAAAAATAGTGAAATATTGTTCTGGTCAGAAGTACTGTAATCTGTCATTGTACCATGAGGTGGCACTACTTCCCCATCATTGTGGCCAAACATTTCCAGCTGCTCCAGTTGAGAATCCTTATTCAAACAACATGCATGTATTTAAGCTGATAAGAGGAATGGGGAAAAACATGGTTTCAGTTACATTCTCAACAAATCATTTTTTAAAATTTGTATAGATGTCTAAGTAATTAGGTGTAGATTCCTAGAGTCTAAATTTAGAGGAGTATTAGTTATTTACAAATAGTTAAGACATACTTTAGTGTCCTGAAAAAAACCCTGTAAGAGATAGATCATCTGATAACTACTTCAGACACTGAATTAAAAAAGGGGAACATAAAATTGTATTAAAACACCTTGATTAGATCACCATTCTCCAGAAAATGGCCCTCTACGTAAATATTTTCATAGGTAAATGAATAGCTGTCTGTGCTTGGAAAAATGTTAGCTTTGCTTTTACATGAAGGTACTGCTCCTGGAAAGTACTGCCCTCACTATTCAACTAGGACTGATGGGCTAGAAGCAAAGGTCCACACCCCTCAGTCCTGGGGACAAAACATGAATTGACTGGGATGGTGGTGGAGAGACATCACTGCAGAACTGAAGTCTGGCTGGGTGCAGGCAGAACTATGACAGTGTATGCGTACCTCAGGCCTGCATCATGCCTCCACCCAGACATGAAAAAGTCACTTTGAAGGTGAAGAAATGAGTTCAGGATCTACCTTCCATTGCACCTGTGGCATCTCAGCTAAGGTTGGCAATAAAGGAGTCAATTGTGATGATGGAGTTTAGAAAGTGAACACCTGCCTGCTAGTGACCAGACTGAGATCATAACTTGCCCCTCGTGTTCTTACTTCAACATTAGCTATTCAATCCAAAGCTTACTCTTAGCTAATGCTTGTTACAGAAACACTTAAATAGTGCTTAGAAGGTGCTGGGTGCTTTACAGACAAAAGATCACCACCATGCTCCCAAAACAACAGGGGCTTTTCTTAATGAAATCAAGAAAGTAACGCTGCCACCCACACCCCTTCTCCAAAAATGGGTCTTTCCCTCCCACTAACCACTCACTCACTATTTAGATTGATGACTGATGGGAGCTTTACTTAGGACTGCATAGAAAGCAACAGCACATTATTAAGGACCTGGGACAAGAATGTTTCAGAAACTGCCTTAGTCTGCAAACCATGCCACATATCTTTAGTTTTTGAAATTATTTTAATCGATAGGTAGAAGCTGGTGCTGTCCTCACAACACAATTAAAGCAGTGCTGTTTGTGTGGCTTGTCTACTGTAGTTCCTGGGACTTATGGAGTTAAACAGTGAACAGCACAGCTAATTACTATGTAATGCTAACCTCAGTTGCTGGTTCATTTTGAGACCCTTAAAATATGAACTGTGTATTTTACCCCTATGCACTCTCTTAATGATTTGTTTTTTTTAGACTGAAATCATTTCCAGCCATCAGTTATACTCGCGGTCTCTACACATGCACTTCTCTGAGCCCAAATATTTCTTTTTCCTATTGGTCTGCCAGCCCCTGTCAGAGCAAATTTCACTTTAAACTAAATGCTATGATACTTAAAACCTCTTGGATTACTCAGGCTGCTAGTGTGATCTATGACCTTCCCAGAATGACAGCTGAACTTTCCAATTTGCTTGTACTGCTGGGGAACTGAAGAACACATGCCAAAGAGGAAAATGTTCCTAATGTGCATGAGTGAAGAGAGATTTCTTAACAGCTTTATTTATTGATATTTACTTTGATTCATAACATCCAAAATAAAATTCCTGTCCAGAGTCCTAGGTGACTTGGAAACAATTTAAAATCAAATCGAAATAATAAAACTAGCAGTGTCCCCATTACCCCAAAACAGGAAATGCCCCACAGTATCCTAATATTGACTGTGACTGAACCCTCCTCCACCCACAGCCTGAGAAAAAAAGGTAGGCTTTGTCGTAGGTCTGGAAGACCTGGCTATTCCAGACCATGGGGCAAGGGAGAAAGCCCTGCTGACAGCCCTCACTGGGTTTGAGCTCAGGTGCCTCTACCA